TAAAGAAGTTACAAATTCACAATTTGTATTTTAATAATGTATCATACATTTTAAAAATCATTCGTAATAAGAAGGATACATAAATAAAATTCGCGCTGTGGAGTTCGCAATGCTCCTCTAACAAACTCATATAATTGTCCAACTATAAACGCACAAATCAGTTAGTTAATTTGTTGATATTTCATGAATATGAAGGCAATCTAATTTGCAAATGATACCTGTTTCTTTGGATAAAAAGGCCATTTGTATTTGAAAGCTATCTGGGAACCTTACTCGAATTAATGTCTAATTTTTTTTTTTAAAAAAGAAAAAGTTATATATGTATGAAAATTGAGACGAGACAACGTAATAAATATATTACCTTCGGATATTTACGTTCCCTTGCCTTTTCTTCTTGTTCTCTTATAGAATGTGTTTTGAATCCAGCATTCTCTTCGGCTTTTCGTTTCGAGCTTTGATTTGCCAATAAAAATTGTAATTCTGAAGGAGTCAATTCATAAAAAGAATCTGGAAGATCAACTATATATGATACGTCATCATAAGTATCTATACGCTAAATCAAAAATATATATATATATATATAAATTTTTTTTTGCTCTTACTCTGTGTTGATATTGTTACATTTTCTGGCGGGGGATTAAACACTTTAACATCCCTGGAAAACTGCCCTTTAATAGATCCGTTCGTATTCGTTTCTGAATTGGATTGTATAATAGAAGATGGTTCAATTTCTGTTTTAGTAGTCCCAGTTTCTATTTGCATATCAATTGGTTCCATTTTTGAAGTGGATGATATTAATGGAACTGTTTCTTCAATCTGTGAATCAGTCGTAGCGTTAATATTTTCCATTGGATAAATCGTCTCTTCAGCTGGTTTCATTGGAACAATCATTTCTTCGATTTGTTCCATTGGAACAGTTGTTTCTTCAGTCTCCATTGGATCTTCAACTGATTTCATTGGGTCATTTTTTCCTTCAACTGGTTTCGTTGGATCGATCGTTTCTTCAACTTGTTCCATTGGATCAACCATTCCTTCAACTGGTTTCGTTGGATCAATCGTTTCTTCAACTTGTTCCTTTGGACCAACCATTCCTTCAACTGGTTTCGTTGGATCAACTATTCCTTCAACTGGTTTCGTTGAATCAACCGTCCCTTCAACAGTTTTCGCTGGATCAACCGTTTTTTCAACTGGTTTCATTAAATCAATTTTTTCAATCTGTTCCACTTTTGAAGTGGATGATATGGGTGGAATTGTTGGTTGAACCAATGTCCCTGAGTCCTTAACTGGATTCGCTGAAGTCGATGACTGTATTGGAGTATTAATTTCTTCCAAAACATCATCGAGGCTTAATTCGGTGTGTCGAAATAAAATACGTAATGCCGCATTTCCAGAAGTAATTCCAGCAGATTGTAATGTAGTTGATTTAAGTAATGGAATAGTCCCATACTATTATTTATAAAAAAGAATGAGAAATCCAACTAATGAAAGTACGTTCAAAGTCGAATAACAAACCTCTTGATTTAATAATAAGCACACAGGTTGTTGATAAAAAAATTTATCATTCGATTTGCCACCCATCTTTTTCCAAATTGTTTTCTTAATTTGAGGTGCTGGTGCCGTTCGTTTTGTAAGATTCAATGATCTAGAAGTAATATAAGTAATCTAAGTAATCTAATTTGATTTGGTTCTTTTGGTAATAAGCAAGATTTCCTAATAACTTGCCTGTCCTGGGATGTATTTTCAAAGTGTAATAATATCTCCCAAAAAGTTGTTATCGGTGGGAACTTTCCAATGATTCTTCCTCCGTCATCCATTTGCAGAGCAATTGTAACCTCGCTATGAACTGTAAAAATATATTTAATTAGATAATAAAGTATTATATATCTCGTAAAAAGTTCAAGTTGCCATTCTTTTTTTTACCCTTTGGCGTAGTTACTCGAATCAATTCAAGTTTTGCGCCCGGAGCAAGATTGGCGAATCGAATAGAAAGGGAAAGATCTAAGATGGTCTTATTCTGTCTATATGTAATAATTAAAAGGCATCAATTTAGGAGGGAGAAAAAGAATTTCTTGATTGTTGTAAATTTTTAGGTTTTTAACAAAACTGACCGACTACTTACTTTAAGCCATACTTGTCTACATCTGAATAACCTTGTTTATCGCATACGAGTTTGACGATCTGCTTCAATGGCATTGTAGGAGTTGTCTTTACTGTTTGTCTTTTTCCTCCAGGTATAAGTATTACCACATGAGAGGCCATTTTGTGGATCTTTATTTGTTGTAATGTGTAGCAATACTTCGCGATTCGGATATTGTATAATTTTTTTATAACCACGTGGGATAGTCAAATTCACTTCAGTTATATCACCTGCGAAATGATCAACGGTCGATCATTACCGGTTTAACTATTATACATGTCACATTGTCACATAATTATTGTTCACCAATCACAGCTAAATTCACGCTACGCGGACACAATCACACACATTACGCTACTTATGTATGTTACATAAATTTTACATTTGCCAAAACACCTCTTTACGAAAACAACTTTTAACTAAGCATAAAAATAATAAAACTATACCTCACCTCCATTTACTCCACCAGCCTACTTTTGAGCTTGTGTCTTACCAAGATGCGTTTATAGTTCTAATTAAAAAACAACTATCAATAATTGTCTTTCCTGAAAACGTATTTGTTCATTTATTTCAAAATGAACCCTCTTTTAGGTATAATTCAGCACTGCGAAAATACTGTTGTACATTTAAAGGTGAGGCAGGAGAAGGAAGGTTAAAGCAAATTTTAAACTATGAATATTGGAATTGCTCACAGGATCCTAAAACAAAAACAACAGAATATGTATTATTTGTGAATAGCGAAGAA